ATCGAAGGCTGCACACAATAGCTGGGGATGCACCTCCCTGTTCATCAAGACTGGATGTCCCTGGGTCCCATGTCGAGCTGAGGGAGTGGCCTGGGCTCAAGAGAGACCATGCTAGCCAGCTGGGCTGACTGGGGAGAAGATGCTCTGCACCCCACCCTACAAGTACAGACCAGGCTTAGACCCTGGGTCTCCTCCAGCTCATAGAGCCTCAGATTGGAGGCAGATGGGCTGCGTACCTCTGACCCCCATCAGCATCAAGAGAATAAAGCAAACTGCCATTTTTTTGGGGGGGGGGACTGTACCTAGGGATTTGCAAATGACCACCTAACAGCTTGTGTGGGGTCAAGAAGACAAGGAACAAGATGACTGGCTGGTTCTAAGACCGGACCAGAGGGCACCGTGGAATGATGACCAGTGTCTATGGTCTCAGAACTGGCCAGCACACTCAGGAAGCAGCACATTGCTAATGCAGGGGGAGCCAACATGGCATTTCCTGCAGAAGAGAGACAGGCAGTCACAAAGCGAAAGACACTGCACAAGATGAGCCATCAGCTTCCCTGAGGCTTTTCCCCTGTATTCTGTAGTTTTAGGGGTAGGAATCAAATAAGTCAAAATGAGAAAATTCCTGCTCTGCCGTGGACTCTAGGTCATGGGCAGAAACCGCATAGGGGAAGACAAGATGACAACAGTAAAACACGGCAGCTCCCGCCAAGGGCTCTTCCAGCTACACAAGTGAGGAGGAGCCTGCCCCTGCTTCATCAACGCACCCCCTCCTCCACCACAGACGGACACACTCCGGTCCAGAAAGGGGGGCTTCTCTTTCAACACACTCCACACCATTACTCCACATCCCTACCACTATTTTCTCTTCCTTTTGCATCTCCTCCCCCAGATACTATTCTCCCAAAGGGATGGAGGGGCAAGGACATGGTAAGTAATTACTAGGACATTCTAGAGAGGACTTTCCATTGAACTCTGAATTCAGAAGTGAGATCTCATGGAGATAGCATGGTCCAGATACAGGACTGAACCCAAAAGATGGCAAAGTTGTCAAGGACTTTCTTTTATAAATGAACCCCAAAACTAATAACAGAAGTGAGATCAAGGACAGATACCTATGTGTCCACAGGACCTAGAAGAGGCCCACTCGGGACTCTGTCAGAACTGGGAAGGGGACTAGGAGCCTGCCAGCAGGCTGGAGTCTGGTCTTTAGAGTCTGAAATAAGTATTTGGTAGAAAGGCCAGTCACAATGTCAGGTGGACACTGGTTTTTGTGTCATTGGGTGAAATGTTACAGGGTGAGGGGCACAGACACAACAGCCTCTGTCAAGAACAGAATCTAAACTTCATATGGAACAAACATACTGGATCCAGAGTCCCTCCAGAAATCCTGCTTCTTCCCTTCTGTTCTTTGTCAGAATTACTGAACATCAGGAAGCTGACTTCCTGTTTCTCCCTCCATCATCCCCTGCAACCTGGCTCCTGCCATCCTCACTTTAAGGAAATTGATCTTCCCAAAGGTCACCGATGAAGTTTTCATTGCTAAAGCCAGCATCCTTTTTACTGAGATCTCACTGATGCACTTTATGCCACTGGACATTGCCTGCTGGTTTCTCCTGGAAATGCGCTAACATGGTTTCCATGACACTGTACACATTACCCTTTCCCTCTGCCAAACATCGCCGTCTCCCTCTTTCCTTGCCTCCAACCCCGTGAATGCAAATACCCCCTCAAGTCAGTGCTTGGCCCCCTGACATTTTGTCTTCTCTTTTCCACTGAAGGAGAGAATCCATTTGTTTCCATTTTTTATATGCTGATTCCTCCACAACTTGTATTTTAATCCCAAGTGGCACACATTACAAATTCTCCACTGGCCTTTTCTTGGTGTAAATCATACTACCATTTCAAATTCAGCATTTGAGTAACCTTTGACTAAGCATTGACTTCCCTCCACCTCCTCCAAAGGAGCTTCCTCCCCTCAGCACCGCCCCACTAGCACCATATTTTTCCAAAACATATGCAATCATAAATTTAGAGAAAAATCTGATTCCGTATTCCATATACTGTTAAAAATCTCATCTCTGGGGTGCCTGGCTGGCTTGCTCAGTGGAGTGTATGACTAGATCTTGTGGTTGTGACTTTGAGCCCCACGTTGGGTGTAGAGATTCCTTAAAAATGAAATCTTAAGACCCTGCCATCAAAGATGTTGTGCCTTTGATTTTACACAACCAAATATGAGGGCAATGCTCAGTTACTCTTGACATCTCTGTGGTCTTTCCATTGCTTACAAATAAGTGTTTTTAGGTTTCCTCACAGCTAACAGAACACCTGGCAAATAACCCTTTATTAGTACAAAAATGCTGGTCTAGCTCATGTTCTCCTTCTGGCTCTCCCTGTCCGGTCTTTCCTGAAGATTACTGCGACTTGTGTGTTCTGTAAACACTCAAGGCCTTGGAAGGGGTCAAATATTCTTTAGTCCCTCAGGTAATGTTCTGTCCTCACACCTCTGACTTTCTCCAGCTCTGAGGTTCATGCTACACCCTTTTCTGGCACTGCCCTCTTCCCCCCATACTTCCTGAAGGCAAACTTTATTGCCTGCCAACTGATGGAACCGGGACAGGTCTACTAAAGGCACACTGGTGGCCCTGCTCCTACTCCATGCCCTCAACCCTTCGAGAACCACCGAGACAGGAACCACCACCTCTCCCTTGAACTTCCACTGGCAGGGAGGCACCCAGGAGCCTCTCAGCCACCACAGGTATCATTCACTTGGAGAACTCCACCCGGTTCTGAAGACTCCAGATTCATTTTCCTCTGACATCAGCGCCTTCCTTTCTGCAACAGGAAGGATCCGGTTTCCAAATTGAGGACTCCTAAAGCTCAGGCTGTTCTCTGCCAAGAGCTACAAAACATATTCCAGAGAAGGAAACTAAAAAGGAGAAGCCCCCCACCACCTTTTCCCATTTACTATGAGATGTACTTCCCAGCTGGTCTTGCCACTCAATGTCTAAACACAGTTTTCAAGTCCAGCTGTAACCCCGGAATGTGTCCCTAACAGCAGCATCAACTCGTACCTCTGACCTCCAGGACCGCCTCCCCTCCAGACACAACCTCATCTTCCATTAAGAGAAGATTAACAGAATAATTTATGAATGGAAACCAGAAGCAGCTGGTGAGCCCTATATTCTCTTAACTTTCATAGCACCCGTTAATTACCATCTGGGAAAGGAAAGCGCACAGAACCTGGGCTTCTGGGAGAGGCTATCCCCCCACTCCTACTTCTGGCATGACCTCCTCCTATCACTCTCCTGGATTCTGCTTTTTATTGCTGTTTTATGTAAAAAGCGCTCACCCTGTTTGAATCCTTTGATTCCACAAATATACCCTGGGCTCTTCTCATATGTAAGAATTAAATAAAATGGGTCACCTTAAAATGAAGACGCCCTAATGCTCAGCTTCAATCAAGAAAGGATAAGAGATAAATACACTAGTTATCTGTAATAGGAGACAGACAATGGTAATGTCCATAAAAGAATTCAAAGTAATACCCCAGACAGCATGCTGTGCACTTTGTGGACTTTATAGTAGCTCATTTAGCCTCACAAAAACACAGAGCTGGATAGTTGTTTCTTGGGTTTTTTTCAGAAAAGGAAACCAAGGTTCATAGAGGTTTAGTGATTCATAATAGTCAACCGTTACTGTATTCTACTCAAGTCTTTGATCTTAACCTTACGGAGAGTTAAAGGTGAAAATCAGGTCTAGTTGAGACATCAGGACAGTCTTTTGAGATTGTGAAGAACTGTAGGAAACAAATGTATAAGACAGAATGGAGACGACAACTAAGTAATGAAATCAGGAGAGCCAAGCGCGTATGAGGAACAGCAAGGAGAGAAGCAACCAGAGTAAAGGGTAGGATTTGGTCGCAAGGTTGCAGCAGAGTGTCAATGGCACTGGCTCCCAAGCTGAAGGACCTTTATCTAATTCAGATGGCAGAGGGGCAGAGGGAGAAGCAGACTCCCTCTGAGCAGGGATCCTGACGTGGGGCTCGATCCCAGGATCCTGGGATCATGACCTGAGTCAAAGGCAGATGCTTAACCTACTGAGCCACCCAGGCGCCCCTGCATTTTTAGTAATAGAGAGAACAGAAACAGAGGTCACTGTGGTTGTGCCAGGGTAGGTCACCAATGAATCCCCAGCACCCAGGGTCATGCTTTGAAATTAATGAATGTAAGTCACGTATGAATCAGGCAACACCAAAAGTTAACATTAAATATACTCTCAATGCTCAGAACTCGAAGAAAACAGAGTGCTAGGTGAACATATCTGCAGACAATGGATAGGTTACCAGGCAAATAAGTCCTAATGGGAAAATCCAGCCTAAGGAAACCCCACAATACTCAGAAGAGCTGTGTAATATAGCAGCAAATATAAGCTTCAGGGAGACAGAAAGTGCACCCTCTAATTCTCTTGTCCCTTACCAATGGCATAGACCTACTTGCTCAATACTGTATTAATAATCAAAGGTGAAGAGCCTGTTCAGGATCTGCAGAAAGCAGAATCCCAGGATGTCCTATACACAGAAGTCTATACTCCACAGAACCACGGAGAGGGGGAGGCCATGCACACACAACCCACAGAAGCCCCTACATCAAGAGGGTGAGGCCCCCACCTCCACGGGCCAACCAGACCCCTCCCCACCAGCTCCACCCCCACTCTCCCAGCCCAGAACTAGGTCACAGGGATGACATCCTAGCAGTCCCTTGTAGCTAATAAATAACCCCCAGTGTTTTCCCAGCCAGGCACCACCTTCCTTCCATCAGCAGGTCTGACCCTTGGCACATCCCTGGTGCTCTCCATCCCCCATCCTTCCCCACAGCTGCATATAAACCCTGGGGAGCCTGAGGTCTAAGAGCGTGAGTCTCGGAAGCTGGGGGACAAGCACAGTACTCTGTACCCTCACCCCAGTCGCTCCGCTGCTAGCACAGCCCCAGGCTAAGAGCATGGACAAGCTCCTGCTTTGGGTCTTCGCCCTTGCCACTCTCCCGGGAGCCTCTGCTCAGACAGGTAGGGTGGTCAGGGAGCACGAGATGAGAAAAGGGGTTGGGGTTGGGTAAGTTATTTTTCTCCCTGCATGAGTGAGAGATCTTATTTCTCTACCCCACAGACCTCAGCGGGAAGGTGCTTGTATTCCCTCAAGAATCTTCTACTGACCACGTGACCTTGACTCCAAAGCTGGAGAAGCCTCTGAAGAGCTTTACCTTGTGCTTCCGAGCCTACAGTGACCTGACCCGTGCCCACAGCCTCTTCTCCTACAATGCCCAGGGCAAGGACAATGAGATCCTGGTCTACAAGGAAAGAGCTGGGCAGTACTCGCTACACGTTGGAGGAACCAAAGTCACCTCCAAAGTTGCCGAGGAGTTCCCCAGCCCCACGCACATCTGTGTCACCTGGGAGTCTTCTACCGGCATTGCCGAGTTTTGGATCAACGGGAAGCCACTGGTGAAGAAGGGCCTGAGGAAGGGCTACTCGGTGGCAACCAAGCCCAAGATCATCCTGGGGCAGGAGCAGGATTCCTATGGAGGGGGGTTTCAGAAGAACCAGTCCTTTGTGGGGGAGATTGGGGACTTGTACATGTGGGACTCCGTGCTGTCTGCACAACAGATCATGTCTGTGCAGCAAGGTTCCTACCTTCTTGATCCCAACGTCCTGGACTGGAGTGCTCTGGACTATGAGATCCAAGGCTATGTCGTCATCAAGCCCCTGGTCTGGAACTGAGGTCTTGAATCAACAAGATCCCTCGAAAATGAAATGACCAACGTGTACGGAATCTGCTCAAGACAATGCCACGTGAGATCCCATATCCAGAGGGCTTTCTTCTTTGAATTTCCTGTCTACACGTTGCCAAGTAAAAAAGTATGTTGTATCATGCCGCCTGCATTTGTTTAGTACTTGTTATGGTCTCAAGCACTTTCGCTTTGATTCACTTATTTGAAAAATCAGTGTTTGTTTTTTATCATCCAGAGCAATCAGGTTGCAAAGTGGGAGGGGAGGGGACCCCGTAACTAGGAAGACAGACCACAAAGCCAGAGCACTCCCTGAGTAGGGCAGTGGCAATACTGACAAGCTACTAATCATTTATACTAATTCCAAATGTGTGTAAAATTTCAAAAGGAATCCTATTTGGTTTTCCAACTAAAAATCAAAAAGAGGTCTAAGGTTACAGCAGAGAAACTACTATAATGAGAAAAGTAAAAATAATGCAGAAACCGACATCAAGCAATGAGGAAAACCAGCAGCAGGAGTGGAAACTAAAAATGTGGAGAAGTCTGGAGTCCTCATGCAAGATGGCAAATGTGCCTTTTTTTCTAAAAATTCCCAGTGGTATCATACGATGCTTGATTTTCAGGATCCTGCCCCGAAGTCATCAGGAATACTGCTCATGACTCCCAGTTCAAAATCCTATGGAACCCCGTCTCACAGAGAATGTAATTTAAACCGTTAATGTGACATGGTCCTCCATAACCTGATCCCCACTTACCCCCTTCAGGTAGAGCTCTTTGCACCCAGTATCCTCATTGTAGTACGACAAAATAGTTGTCCGATTTTATCAGTACTTTCATCACAAAAGCCACAAGCCACAGCTCCTCACCCATCCCCAACAGAAAGAGGGTGCCTTCTTAGAGAAGGACCCCCAAAGAGAATTTGGCAGCATATGGAAAATAAGGCAGGCTTTGCCCAGATAATGGGGCATGAAGCCAAGGGAAATCAGAAAGACCACATCCAGGAGAGCTTCAAAATAACAGAAGGGATTACTTCAAACTCCTGCATTCATTCACCCGGGATCGACCAAGAGGCAGACACCAGCTACCAGGAAGTAGGCTAGAACCCTGGAACTCCATTAACAGAGCAACAGGGTCAGGCAGGGAGTAGCGGGTAGAACCCGAGATTTGCCAGGGTGCTTAAATGGATTCTCAGGGACTTCCTAAGCACATTTCCATCTCTCTGGTGAGGTGCAAACCATTCAGAACAGCAAGTTGGCTAGCCAGGGACTTCAGCAATGTAGAAAATCCGTTTCCATTCACCAGCTCATGACTCCAGGTGGCTTGCTTTATAGTTTAACATCAACCACCTTTCGTGTACTGTGAGCACCGTACTTGTACTATGTGCGCTAGGAGAGACCAGCTCTTCCCGTGGAGGACAGGTTTTCCCCAGGAGCACATAGACATGTTCGCCCGGACACTATGCTGGGGCTCAACGGTTCACTGCTTTAGCTGAACAGCCCCCTCGGTCAAGGGACCTAAAACAAGTTTTAAGAAACGCAGCCAATGTATACTCAAATGGCATCATCTTTTTTTTTTTTTTTTATTGAACACCTACTCTGTGCCAGACACTATACCAGATGAAAATACAGAATTGAGTGGATCATGGTACTGGTCTTGGAGTTTATGTTCTACCCGGCCTGCGTTAGAACCCACACCCCACCATCTTTAGGCTTTCCTCCATCTCAGGGTATATTCTACTCCCTGTCTCAACTCCGTTAGATGGGTTATTTACCCTCAGTGATCATTTGCCACTTCTTCCATGTGTCTTAGAATCTAATATCTGTCTGGTTTCTTGCCTTTAGGGACCCTCTACCTCCTGAGACAACTCTTATAGACAGAACACAGCATAACTATATGCCAGTCCTTCCTTCTAGGGGACCCACACTTCATCCAAAAAGAAACACTCCTGCGTCCCTTGTCCCCATAAACTCTAGGGGTCCAGGCTGAATGTAATGCAGAGGACACTTTTCTGCTTCTACAATGGATTTAGCTTTCCACCCAGCAACCACCCTGTCGAGGTACCAGCAGCAGGACCCGTGACTCTCTCAAAGCAACAGCACTAGAGCCACAAGTCTCCCGAGAGCAGTTCCTCCCTATCCCCCCGTTCATCTCCTCTGAACCCCTTGTTTTGGCCAAAGGATGAGAGAGTCCTTGAACTTGTCCACCACTTCCTCCGAAAATTGCTATAAGTGGATCCACGTCATGTTTTTTATTAACTAACACCTATCACATCGATGGCTCCTTCCAAACTAAAGAAAGAGAGTTCCATTTTAACCTCATTTAAAATAGAGACAGGATTTCTAGCTCCTTGCTTTAGGCATTTTTCTCAGGTATAACGGTTGTCACAAGGAAAATAGCAGAACTCACAGAAAAACACTTCAGTCCTTGAGACTCCAGAAGGGAAATGGAAGGACCTGCAAGGCAGGGTGACCCAGAAACTTGACTGGAGAGTGATTCCATGTCAAAAACCATGGTAGTGGCCACTTTCCCCACACTGACCACGAAGGCCGGGAGATCAGTGGGAAGCAGCAGCGCACAGGTGTGCAAGGAGTGCTGAACCCTGCAGACAGCGCTCATGAGAAAAGCAATTTTTGAATCTTTATCTTGTACAAGGATGAATCGAGTTCTTATTTGTGAAGCTACAGAAAAAACCAGGTCAGAGCACTTAGCCTCATGGCTCCAGGACTGGCTTTTACCAGAGAAGTCTATAAAGGATTTTTCCTTGATAAGAGGGCTTGCAGTTTTGTTTTATAGGGGGAAACTCTGGAGGGGTCAGAGGTTAAAGCAATCAGGTCTCCTTGAGTTTGGGATATGCCTTAAAGCAGACTTGAGTTGGGGTGAGGATGAAAAAATTTCTCTAGAGCTGATCTAGAACCTACTAAGGCTGAACTCTGAAAGACACCAAGACTGTTACTTCCTTTAGCCAAAAAAAACCCTGCAATTTGTTTACTTGGCATTGCGGTGATCTTCTGCAAATAAATCATGATTGCCTGGTATGCTCTGAAACCATGAAAGAACACAAGCAGATCCAACAAACTCAAGGTGGGTGGACTCTCAGGTAGGAGAAGACTTCCCTCCCAAAGAAAAGTCACCAGTCTTACTTAATTCAAATAGTTCCATGTAATCCTGTTTCTTAACTCCTCCCTTGCTGGCTCCCTAGATCTATTTGGTTTAAAATGAAAGGAAAAGTAAAGGACCAGGGCAAAAATTCAGGGGGTGGGGGGGGGAGAGACAAGAACCCCCCCACACACACACACACCCCCCATGGTCTTTTTTAACTCACAATTCCTTCACACACAAAATGTCATTACAAGGGCTCAGCCTACCTGGCATTTTTTAGGTTTTTTAAAAAACAGGTTCTGTTTCTAGGCACATATTTTGGTTATAAAGATTTAGGCATTTATAAATACCTATGGCTTTTGTCATAATTTCTTCCCTTTGCAAATGGTGTTTCCCTTACACCCTCAGTGTGTTTTCCCCTCTATTTGTCTTTTTCTTCTAGTAGAAATATTGGCTTCATGGCTAAAATTTTGATGCATGAGCACATTTCCGTATTTTTCTTCCCCCACAGGGTTTCTATCCTTCTGGAATGTATAAATCATCTTGAAATCTCTCTGTGCTATACCCTGCTTTCAAGATTATCTACCGGTGTGTCCCTCACACAGAAACACCCTTAGGGTGCGGCCACCGGAGGGCTCAGGTTTGGGTGGGGGGAAGGGCTGTTTCTACGTGCCCAGCTGCTGTCACTTCTGGCCGGGTAGGCTCAGAAGGTCAACCCCCTGCCCATGTCAAAATCCTCCTTAAGTTCACGGACCCACGTTCTAACCGGTGAGCATTCATCCCAGGCAATCTGCAGTGGCCGACTGAGGAGGATGAAGAGTGATTTACTTCCATATCCCCAACTTCCCATCTTGTCCTCTGGGGCTACCCTCACCTCCAGAGATAGCAACAGCCCTGCATTTGTCATCTGAGCCATACGGTCCTCTCAGGAATGCTTCTGCACCTCAAAGAAAGGTGGAGAAGGGAGCTAAGTAGGTGATTGCCCTTAATCTGCACACAATGCTCAAACATCACTGGAAACATAACAAGATGCACTGAAATAGAACTTGTAAAGTGGAATGTGTTTGGAAAGAATGCTAGGGAAAGTCAGGGTGAGCAGATGACCCCTACTGTTGGAAGCATAGCTGGCCAGTGGGGAGGACGGGACGTGTGGAGGCCAAATCCCACTGAGCACAGCTCCCCCACCACCACCACCACCACCGAGCAACGGGAGCAGAGGCGGTAGCTCCTCCTCGTGGCAGTGCTTCACCCCTCCCCCACAGCCCGCACACCTTTCCCCTGAGCAGATACTAACGCGGAAAGAACACTGCTTTGAACACGCTCTCACAGGTCTTCATCTGCATGGGAACACGTGCATTCATTTCCAAGTTTTAGGGAGGTCTTAGGATAGCCTTTCATGGTCTGTTCAGTTCAATCCAGTTGTGCACCATAGGCAATAAAGTTACTTTTCCCCAGGAGTCAGCCATCCTGTCTCTACCTTTATAATCTCCTCGAAGAAGGTAAATTCGTATTTACCTGAGGCATGCTTTACAATGAATCTGGCCAGTTTAGGGTGAAAGCAACACTACTTTTCAGACCACAATTTAAGGATACCAGGGATTTTTTTCTTTCTCCTCCTGACAATTCAGTTGAGTACCTTCTCTTCCCTACAACAAAACGCATACTGCTTCCCTCAGTATCTCCTTCACCACTTACCGTCACTCATTGCAACAGGCTCATCAAGAAACTGAAAAGGCAGATGCGATCTGTGGTTCTCATCCATGGGTTACCGAAGTTCTTTGTTCACCCCCTGTAACCAGGCTTTCCAGCCCCAGATGCTACTGAAACTGACCAGTCATCAGTCACCTCCTTGCTCAATCGAATGTCTCTTCCCAGTTCCCCTCCTTGACTTCT